CATTCCTCTTTTGTTACTATAGAAATCTATTAGGTTCTTGCACTTTCTCCACTATGGGTTGTTTCCGGAGCATGAGTACTTTTCAGTCATGTTCTTTCATTACTGGAGTTATTGTGATGAATGGGGTTTTCTTTTGTCTTCAGTGATTTTGGTACCGGAGGGACAACATTAGTCGGTGATCATTTATGCCTGCTTGAGGAAGTTCTGTTGTTTACATGTCCTGACATTAATACCCTCTTTCTTATTTATTATGTTTCTTGGAATTACTTGCTTCACATTTTCATGCTTGTGGAAGACCAATTCATTTTCCTTCATGTTCTCCTTTAGCTTTGTCTTTTCATTTTTTCCCTTTCCGGTGCTTCAAGCAGTGCAATGCTGTACACGATTTGGTTCATCACATGCAATGGACCTGTGCAGGCCAAAGTGCATGCAGTTGACCTGATTATTAACATTAGTTTTAGAACTACTTCTCAATATGCATGACTGGTAACGCTTGGCAGTATCCACAATAAAGTTTGAAAAGATAAGTTGGAAATTTTGGTCCCGTTGGAAACGAGTACCACAATGTCTTGTAATGATTTCTTTGCTGACTTCAAACATGCCACAATGGTGTGGTCATTGCTTGGTACATGCTTTGCTGGCTCTCTTCTTGTATCAGAGAACATGATAAATAACAATACGCATCTGGACAGGAAGGAAAAACCAAAGCCTATCAGACTGAGGTAATTTGGATTATTGTACTCTATGGCTGAGCTACCATTAGAGCAATCAATGAAGCATTGTCCTTGCTGCTGTTGACTGTGCAATCATGAGCTTAGCTAAATAATTGTATTCTGTTTTCATTGTGGAACACTTTTGTTGCCAAGGTGACATTGGGTGGATACATACATGAACCTCAGGCTAAATGTTTGAGGGACTACGGATGCCACTAATAGGGAGCTTTCCATCGTTTTGTCCAGTGCATGACAAATTTTGGGGCCCTTTTCTTGGTTGTCTATTGCCATTTATTGCTTGAGGTCCTCGTCACACCTGTAATAAATCTTCTAGATCTGACTTGCACATGACTTGGAACTGGTAATAGATCTTTGGTTTCTTTCTGAGTTGCAACTACATGCACAAGGCAATAACGTCTTCGGGATGCTAAAGTAATATTCGTTTGGTGGTAAAAAAACATTGTCCTGTTTCGTGTATTTTCTTGTTTGAATGATTTTGGCTAATCGATTAGTCTACACTGGTTTGAGCTATCAAAGAAGCTTTTGAGAGTTTTAGCGCTGTTCTGAACTATATTTAAGTTTCTGGAGGCTTTTCTAGTATGGATTAGATCTAGCAACAACATTTCATCGAGAAGCATACTTCTTTAGAAGAACCTTAATTCCATGTGAATGTTATGTTGCCGATGACCATTTGTTTGTCTCAGGTGTTCCAGAGAGACCACCCCTTGCAGTCTGATCCGGAATCCAGAAGCGATAAGGACTCCAAGTTCTACAAACAGGCCTTCCAATTCTACAACCACTAACCGGAGGATGCAAATTGTTCATCAGAATATTCCTAGTGCTCATGAGATGGATGAGTTTTTTGCCGGCGCAGAGCAACTCCAGCAACGAATATTTATCGAAAGGTATAGGAGGTCTTCGAGTTAATTTTTTCCATTTATCTACGTAAGCTTACCTGAATTTGACCATTGTGGATGTACTCAGTCTATTTTTTCCCTTCTCTTGCCATTATCTCTAGGTACAACTTTGATCCTGTAAATGACCGCCCGCTTCCTGGTCGGTATGAATGGGTGAAAGTTGACTTCTAGATGGCAGATCTCTAGCTGGGCGTGACCTTCTTTCCCTGCATGTTCTCCGATGATCTCTGCCCAGAATTTTCAAAGGGGGGCAGGGCTGCAATGCAATGTTGGTGGTTGCAATGACAAGTTGTTCTTCTGCTGTAAAAGGTCGAAGTTCCCAAAGGTGTTAGTCTAGTGCTGTGTAACATATAGAGCTGATGAGACACTGGTAGAGAAAAGTGAACGTGGCAAGTTTAAGCTTCATGTAACTTGTTTAACAGATCACTCACTACAAAGGATTAAAGGGGTCAATCATCTGCAAATGTCACTGACTTTAGAGACTCAGCCTGGGAGTATACAATGCTGCACTTGATTGGGTTGTCTTGGGTCATTTATCTATGCTTCTTATGGACCTAAAGGCCAATGGTCAAGGCAGATCTACTACATCTTAGGAGGATACTCTATTTGCCTTTACCATGATGTCTATCCTTTTTATCTTATTAATAAATTTAGCTTTCCATTGATTCTTTTTTGCTGTTGGATTTTATCCAGTCTTACTGTAGACAATCTTTTTATTATGATTTTAAATGTGTCACAGCCTGAATGTATGCATATATAAATTTGGAATATTCTGAACATGTCAAACACTTCATTCTAATTGTTGAAGGCACAAAAAAAAGGATGTCACATTTATTCAAAACTCAAATTGTTCCAAGGCTTAGAAAAAGACACTACTATAGTATCTTATCTCGAGTTTTGACTCTCTCTAGCAAAGTTGATGGATCGAAAAATCCTAATATAGTATTTTTTAAGTCTTGACATATGAAGAACTTCCTTTTTATTTGTTTTCAACGCAATTGTGTTGGTCATAAAAATTTCAAATGCCTTAATATTAATCCCTCTTTTAAGGGTAATGTTGGAGCAATTGCTTGTGTTCCTTTACCTCTTATATTTTGGTGGTCCAACTACTTTTACACCTTCTTACCTAAACTACTAAATTAGGTAACTCAGATCCTTTCTATTATAAACGTCAATTGAAAATATCCTATCTAATGTATATAAATGATATCCTCCTTTATTTTAGGGCCAATAGGAAATCTATCTCTAGTATCAAGCACAGAAGCATGAGATCCTCCCTAACTAAAGAATTAACCAATCCAAAACTGAAATCTTTTTTCCTAAATTGACTTCTCAAGTTAGAAGAGAAGAAATTTATTAGACCTTCGGTTTTAAGGAGGGTTCTTTTCCTTCCATATACTTTGGTAACCTCATTGTCCCTCGAAGGATCTCTCTTATTGCTTTTGAAGTCAATTTAGTAGTAACTTCCCAAGTCAATTTACTACTAACAAATCTAATTGGGGTTTGGCAAGCCTCCTATCTTTCCCAAGTTGGTAGGGTTTCTCTCATTAACTAGATTCTTTTCGCAACCTCACTATATACCTTAGTAGTAACTTGGATACCTAAAAATATCATTAATAATATTGAAAAAATTATTAAGAATTTCTTATGATAAAAAAGTCATGAGACTAAGGGTGGCATAAATTGTCCAAGTCTAATATAGGAGTGCTTAATATTCATATTCTCCATCTTACCAAGGCGGCTCTCCGATTTATCCTTACTTTAATCGAGCTGATTCGATCCAAATTAACTTGATGTATATAAAAAATAACCATATTAACATATTTAATCATCTAATCACATGAGTTGGAGTTGGAGATCCTTCCTGAAAGCTCTTGAGCAACTTGGCTTTAATTTTAAAATTAATAATAATATTTTAATTAATATTTTCAAGGATAACTAGTGATTTGAGACCTTATAAATTTAAAGACTATATTCCTCGACTCAAATTTGGTTTTTATTAATGTTTAGCTTTGCTAGTTCTTTAGTGATGGTTTCTTCAGTAGTGTCAGATGTGTTGTTATCTCATCAATGTGATGATAATAAATGAATATATAGGCTTATCCTTAAGGGCAATCATTAACACTTTGTTAAGCTCTTAATATACTACCTCTTCTTCAATATCATTTATTAAAATACCTTTATTTTATTTTATTTTTGTTAAAAACTATTGCTTAACGAACTATCTACTTTGGAGCTTTTTGAATCTCTTAGCATCGGAACTACTGGTGTGTGCTTCCTTTGCCAGCAGCATTCAGACAATTGGAGTCCCAGAGAGTAGATGATGCCAAGTGGATCTTCCACCTTGGCGGCGAGAGAATTGGGTTGCTGAGATAAAAAAGATTATTCCCTGTTTCTTAAAATTTAATTTTTATATATTTTAAAATAATAATAATAATATGATAATTGACTGACAAATAAAATCATAATTTCTTCATCCGATTTTGTATTCATTAGGAGCTTTCCTCGTGAAATCCCGCTGAACTTAGCACCAGCCACAAATAATTTCTTCATCGAGTTTATTTCGAACCTTTTTCTTTCGGAAAAAAACACGCACCAACAATATTAAGTGCACTTTGCCAGAAATCAAGAAAATAATTGATACCCTCCCTATCCAAGGTGGAGTTCCCTTAAAAGAATGACCAACGCAGTCAAAAGGTGTAGGCGGTGCGGTAATTTGCGTGCGTCCTTATTACGAGGGTCCATTAAATAGCAAAGAGCAATTATCGTCCCAAGTATTTGTGACTGCCTTCCCAAAATGATGGTGTTTACCAGGTCACAAGCTTTTCTCCCATCTCCCATCTCCCATGTCTCCCATCTCCCATCCATTCAGCTGTAAATCCAAAGAACACAGATTAAGAGAGTAAAGAAAATTAAAAGGAAAAGAAAAGGCGGCCTTTAGAACTTTCTCTGGTGGGAGAGAGAGAGAGAGAGAGGAAAGAAAACGCACTATTTCTATTTCTACCCGCTTTTGTCTCATCCGCCGTCCGTGCAGTTAAGCAGATCGACGGTGTCAATAAAGTGGGTAAAGAAGTGGGTAACGAAGCGTTGTCGGAAATGCAAAAAAGGCCGCAACGGTAGACTCGGTAGGCGACGGACATTTGCGGAAACGACTTTTCTACGTTTCCCCGCCGACATGAATCAATACTGGGACAGGGAATCGCTGTGCCACCTGGCAAATCACCGGCCTCAGGCGGCTTACGACCCCTCCGGGGGCCCCACCCAGCTGGGCGTTATCGGCCGTTCTTTTTTATAGAAACAAATTGATTATATATATATATATATATATATACTCTGTGTTAATTAAAATAAAAGTTCCGTCCGTCGACCTTTCGCCGCGCCTCCCAAAATCTTCTCTTTTAACCCCCACCAACCCCCCCACCCCCGGTGATTTGAATCGGTCTGCGGAAGCGACTCATCCAAGATCGAACGCTTCGACGAATTAGACGGCGAAGGAATCTTTTTATTTCGGGTTCTTTTGTGGACGCATTGGTCGGGGGATTTCTTGGTGGAGTTGGGTCGGAGAGATTCTAAGGGGGTCGGTGTCTTCTTTGATGGGCCAAGAACAACTCTGGTTTGGTGGGATTTAATAGCCGCCTGGACAGGTACGGTTTTTATTGCCCGCCTTTGATGGTTTGTGTTGCCGCCTTCGATCTCCGTTAGACGACAAGCCGCACTAAATATGGGCAGGTTTGCAGAGTTGGCGAGAGGTCTGTGCAGCCGGGTTGGAGTGGGATCATGCGGTGAAACGGGGGAAATTTTGGCCAGTTATTCTTTTTTTCTTGGCCCTTTGCAATTGGATTAGGGTTTCGGGAGGACTGGGAGAAAGGGGTGGCTTAAGGTGGGGTTTGGTATTTTTGATGTTTTTTGGTGCTTCTTGGGTTGCTGAATTCAGAGTCTTGCATTGTAATTGATGCGTTTTAGGGGTTGTGTTTTTGGATGGGTTTCGCAAGAGTGAATTCTTTATCAGTTTTCCTTTTTATGTTTCCGTCAAACTTGTCTGTAGTTATTATTCATGCTTTGTATTTGAATTCTTTCATTTGTTTACTTGTTTTTCCACGATTCCGACTTTTGTTGATTTTCCTTTTCTTTTTTTCTTTTTCTTGAAATTGGTATTGGACATTCATGCAATTACCACCTTTTCTAGGTGTTTGGAGAAACAGCTTTTGTCAGGATTTAATGGTTCAATTGCTTAAGCGTTGCTTATGAGGCATGGATTAGTGTATTGTTAGTTCTTTCGCCTATGCTTATAATTCATGGAGATGCCGAGTTTAAACATAATGTTTCTGACCTTGGGGCATGCTTGATTGAGATACGTGTCATTCTTCGTTCTTTTCCCTACTTTTTAAATTGGCAAGGTGGGGATATCAAGTGTTAAATCTGTGTAAAGGTCCCATCTAATTTATTTTCTGATTGATCACAAATGCTTTTTTGTAATTTGGATGGTGTATCTATCTTTTTTTTGACAAGATTTTGACTTGTCCCAGTCTGATTCAGCACGTGTTCTGTTGTAGTTTACATCAAGACGATTGGGTCAAATATGAGTGGCTTACTTTGTCAGTTTTGTTTCCTGGAAATTTTTGTAAATTTACTGTCCCTCAGCTGGTTGGCAATTGTTTAAACTCTTGTTTTCTGTGTTTGGTAGGCACTTTGAACAGGCAGATGGTAGATGTAATTTTCTTCAACAGAAAGCAGCATGAATGGTAAGAAATGAGTAAAGAGACAAGGAATTTTCTCATCTTCTAAGGAACACAATGAAGTGTTTGTGTTCGGATGATCAATTGCGAGTAGATGAAATGGTTCAATCGTCTGGGTCCCTGGCCACCAAGGACTGCTTGCCTGGCCATTATTCATGTCGAAATGGTAAGGTTGAGCGGAGGGTTGACACTGTAAACATTGAAGAAGCTGAATCATCTCTCCGTGAAGGTCTTTGCTTAAATGATGAGGTTGGTTCCTGAACATCTTTTTTTGTATCCTATGCATGAAGGAACTGCTGAGGCTTGACAAGTTTTCTCCAAGTTCAATGTTAAACCAGGTTTTCTTGGCTTTTGATTTAGGTCAAATATGTTGTCTTCTCTAAGTATTGAAGATTTTTTCTTTTGGTTGCCAACTGAGGATAGTGCTCAGTCAGAACATGTATTTATTTGGATTGAAACCTATTCAACCATATGGTAGGGATGTAACTAAGTCAAGATTTAATGAGTTTAACCATGCTTTAGCTTGCCTTGTAATTAATTTCTGGGCTGAAGATTGATCAAGCTTGATATGTTACATAATCAGTGAAGCCTAATTTTGAATCAAGCCAAGCTTGAGTCTATGCTGAGCAGCTTGACAAGATACATTGTGCTTCATTCATGCATTATGTGGCCCTATACATCAATCCTTCATTTATTTTTCACAAGGTAATAATGAAGTTATGATCTTAATTCTACTCTAATAAATCAATGTTGATGGTGGAAGCCTTTACAAGATCCTTCTAATGTATAGGATATATGTAACACTGTCACTTATTCTGAATTTTGTGTGGTGTCTTAATACAATATACAAATGTTTATAAAAATTCTTGAATATGTGTCACACTGTGTAGACATGCAAAATAAGATTAGTTGTAATGTCTAGTGGAGCTTTATATTTTGCAGGAAGCAAGAGCCTTGCTTGGAAGGATAGAATATCAGAGAGGAAATGTAGAAGCTGCACTTCATGTTTTTGATGGAATAGATCTTTCTTCAGTAGCTCCTAAGATCAAAGCTGCTATTGCTGAAAGAATGGAACGCCCCAAGTGTCACTCAAAATGGGATGCACGAACAATGTCCATACATGCAATAAGCTTACTTGTTGAAGCAGTATATCTGAAAGCAAGAGCTCTACAAGATCTTGGAAGGTTTAAAGGTGGAGATCATATGTTGATCAATTTTTTCCAGTACCTTTACCTATTCAATTTTCTTGAATTTATATTTTTATAAATTATCATAGTACAAAATTTATTTTTGTTTTCTCAGTCCTCTCTTTTTTAGTTGGGAACCACCAAAAGAACATGTCAGTTGTAGGTGATATTCATATTATAGTTAAGGACATCAATATCCATATATACAATCTAATTTTGTTTTTAAGCTTGAGATTTCTTTCAGGTTGTGATTTGGTCCATGAGATTTCTTGTCTCCCGTCAGATTTTTCATCCTAACTTGGAGTCATTTGACCTTTGCCCCTTCATGTTCGTATCCATTGCAATCAACATGTATTGGTTGTGCAACTCCTAAGTTTCCCTCCTTTTCTTTGAGAAATGCTGTACTCAGGTATTCACTAGAAAGGTGGCCTCAGTGCCTTAGCAAGTGTTGTCTGTTGCAACATGGGCATGGGTTTAATTGAGGAAATTAATGTAGTTGTACGGTGGGTAAGTTTTAGTGCTTCTGACTTTCTCCAGAGAATAATGGAACAGTGGTTTGGTCAGTGGAAACCTAATGCACTGGGCTATTCTTATATAATTATTAGTTTGGAAACATGATGCACTGGGCTAATTCTTATATATCTATTAGCTTCACTTCGCAAATTTAAATGTCTTAATACCCATTTTTGTCTATTCTTTAGTTATTATCTCTCTTCCTTATGATGTCTGTATCAATTTCACAATGTTGAAATCGATGTTTTGTTCTTCATGTTGCATTATTGTACATGGTGCATGATAATAGATGTGTGTACTAGGATTCAGTTTTACTCACTCTCCATATAGGAAACCACGAGACTGGTGATAAGTGGCACATGTTGTCTCTGTTGTCTGATAGTAGTTTTACATGTGGGCAGACATCTTTGTTGTATAACATAAAACTGTCTCTGATATCGTTCTCATAGCAGTGTTAATCAATGATGTGGGGACATTTGAGGAAACTGGAGATGAAGCTGTACAAAGGCCTAAAAACATCTACTAGAAGATGAACTAAAATTCATGTTTTTTTATGGTATCACTATAGTTTTTTGCGGTGATTTAAAAAGCGCTAGTTGTCAAGGTTCTAATTAACAAAAAGTCTAGTATCCTCAAATGTCCCCAAATTTAAAAAGCTATAGTGATACCATCAAAAAACATAAATTTTTATTAGTGATACCATCAAAAAACTAACAATATCACATTAACAAAAAGTCTCAAAATTCAAAACAATAACAACAATTTCGAATAAATAAAAATTAGTAGTATTAAAATCAAAATAATATATTATTAATCTAATAAATAAAAAATATTGTTACTAGTATACAGTTAACAGTATACTATCGAGTCGATGTGAGAAGAGTGAGTAAGACAACAGCGACGAGCAGCGAGCAACAGCAGCGCCGACAGTGGCAAGCAGCGACAGCAGCAGCGAGCAGCTACAACAGTGGCAACGACGAGCATCGATAGTGGCAGCGGAGAGAGGCAGCGACAGTGGAGAGGAAATGTCGGTTGCAGAATCGAGAGCAGGGTTAGGGTTGGAAAAGTCACGAGAGGGATGTTGGAAGCTGATATCGGTGCTTTAGTTGGTTCGATTGAACCAACTAAAGCACCGGGGTCGCCTAGTTTGACCTGAGCGCTCGCCCGAGCCTAACTGTCGGGCGCTTTGGGTGAATGCCCAAGCGGCGCCTCTTTGAAGCGAACCACCTGGACATGAAGCGAGGCACTCGGGCCTCATCTCGCCTCGCCCGAGCGCCTATTGAAACCGTTGGTTTTTTTGTTATAAAACATTATTTCTGAGACTGTTATGAAATCTAAATTGTGCTGTTTGGATTTTGACTGTACTTTTCCCCCTGAGACCGTTATGGCCTTGGGATTTATAACATTATATTTATCACCTGCAGCCCTTTTCCTCACGTCATATGCTCTGTACTTGTAAGAATGTATTTTTATATTTGTTTTGAAGAATAACACCTTCTAGAATTATTCTTACTTGTTTAAATACAAGATAATTAGGTACACAAATGCCTTGTGTAGTTCAGAATTCAGATTTTGTTGGTCTGATTTGCTCCTGGGGCTATTTGCTCATTTCTTAATTCTATTTGCTCATTTCTTAATTTCACATTCATGTTCTGTGATTTTTTTTAATATTAGTTACATTCCATCTATCATATACTATTTGTTCTTGTACAAGTATAATTTAGCTCCAATCTTCATTGATAGGTAAGAAACTTTTGGCTTGGTTCTTTAACGTGTTTTTGAACTTTTGGTTCTTCCCGTTTGTTAAAAGTGTCAGTATTCTTTCCATATGGACAAAGACGCGCGCAATTATTTTTTTATGTTTTCACCTATAGACTGTTGAGTACTGACTATTATAACTTATATGTTTATGAAGAAAATGAATTATTTTCCAAAGCCTGCTGAATTGCTGCTAAAAAGGTGATCACCATATTAAGGACCACAGAGAGTTCTTACTTATAAATCATTGTATGTCTCACTTATGTCAAAGACATGGTTATTCTGAAATCAATAGCCAAATGTTAAAATGCCTGTTGCATGACTGTAACAGTATTCATTTGGTCATGCAGAAGCTGCTCAATCATGCAGCATTTTTCTGAACTCTATAGAGTCTGCGTTACATGATGGCTTGCCAGGGAACTTTATTACTGATAATAAATTACAGGAGATAGTGTGCAAGGCAGTTGAGTTGCTTCCGGAGCTATGGAAACTGGCTGGATTTCCTCATGAAGCCATCTCAACTTACCGAAGGGCCCTACTTGGACACTGGAATCTTGATGATGTTACCATGGCAAAGATACAAAAAGAATTTGCTATCTTTCTTCTTTATGGAGGCTGTGATGCTAGCCCTCCAAACCTTCACTCTCAAATGGATGGTGCATTTATACCTAGGAACAACATGGAAGAGGCAGTTCTTCTGTTAATAATTCTTTTGCGGAAAGTTTCTCTTAGGAGAATTGAGTGGGATTCATCTATCATCGATCATCTGTCTTTTGCACTATCTATATGTGGGCAGCTTAGTTCTCTGGCCGGTCAGGTAGAAGGGTTATTACCTGGTGTCCTAGGTATGAAAGAACAATACTATACCTTAGCCTTATGTTACTTAGGAGAAAATGATGACCTTACGGCTCTGAATTTGCTGAGAAAGCTACTGAATGCTACGGATCCAGATTGTGTAAAAGCATTGATACTTGCTGCTAAAGTTTGTGGTGAGAATACTTCTTGTGCAGAGGAAGGTGTTTCCTTTGCACGCAGGGCACTCACCAACTTGCATGGTTGCTGTGATCAAATTGAAAGTGTAACTAATTGTTTACTTGGTATCTCACTTTCAGCTCAGGCTAGATCTTCTTCCTCTGATTCAGAAAGAGTTTCAAGGCACTCTGAGGCACTTGAGGTGCTTGAAAAAACTGAAAGAACGATCCATGGAAAAGACTGTAAAACCATATTCAATCTCAGCTTAGAACATGCTGAACAAAGAAAGTTGGATGCAGCACTTCGTTATGCCAAACAGCTTCTGAAACTAGAAGCTGGCTCAAATGTAGATGCGTGGATCCTTTTGGCACGAATATTAACTGCCCAGAAGCGGTTTGTTGATGCTGAGACCATTATCAATGCTGGTTTGGAGCAAACAGGAAAGTGGGACCAGGGAGAACTACTGCAAACTAAAGCTAAAATTCAGATTGCAAAGGGACAAATGAAGAATGCTATTGAGACATATACTCATCTTCTTGCCATAATTCAGTTGAGGACTAAGAGTTTTAATTATGGACTAATGTCATTGAAGGTAGTGTCTACTTTCTTCGACCTACTCCATGCAAATTTGTCCTTATTGTTCTTGTTGCTGTAGCCTTTCTTCAGCCTAAACTTTATTTTATTCCTGTCTATTAATTTAGTGTCTATTTTCTGTCATGCAGATTTCCCTTTTAGCAATAAGATATTCACTTATTTGCACATAGCTATTATATTATCACAGTAGGTTGGTTTATGACATTATAATTTGCACGTACAAATGTATTATGTGCCTTTATGTTATCAGCTTCGTTTTAATTATATGGAAATTCATGTGCACTTACTTTTCACATAACTTTTTAACAGGGTGGAAAAAGTGAGAGAAGTTTGGAAATCCAGACGTGGCATGATCTGGCTAATGTCTACATAAGCATGTCACTGTGGAGGGAGGCTGAAATTTGCCTATCTAATTTGAAGGCTATTTGTCCTTATTCTGCTTTAAGATGGCACACTACTGGTAGTCAAGATTTTGGACATTAGTTTATAGTTTCCACTATGTTTTCATTTTTCTATTATGATAATGATATGCTTGCTTTTATTTTTAGTGTGTGTTTTCCTTGTACTTTTAGTATGCTGATTTTGATCACACATATAAACCAAGAGTTTCCAAAATATTATGATCTGCTTAGTATTTAGTGGGGAATATGTAACTTAGTATTTGCTGGTTGCTGGATGTTGCATTTGTTGTTTTCTTTAGTTTGTCTTAAGAAATGAGTTACAGAACAGAAACTGGTTAGATTAGAACGTGTTGTGCAGATTAGCTTATTAGAGACTATCGTATGTTATATGGGTTGGGTGGGAATTGCTGTGAACGTATCCATAGAGACAAGTTGTGGAAGATTTTGAGTGATTTATCACCTAAATATATCCTCCCATATATACATTGTTCCCTGGTTAATCTAAACAGAAGTAACCAGCAACATAAGTTTACAACAAGAAAATAGTGTTCATGTTTATTTGGTAAGACTGTCACGCAAGATAGGTTTATATATACATATACATACATATATATGTAAACATTCTCATCATTTGATTGATTAGTTGCCTCAGCTCCTTATTCAATTTGATTATGTTTCGCTTCTTCCTCGGAGTAAGACGATTAGACAATTCCTAATCATGGTCCTTGCGGATTGGATCATTTATATGGGATAAAAAAGAAACTTCATGTATTTGTCATCTTTCTCATTGAATTATATCTCAATTCTAGTTATGGTTTAATTAGATATCTTACAACTAGAACTCATCTTTTTCGATCAAATTCCTCCACCACTGCAAAACTCCGGTTAGATTCAGGCAGGAAAGTAGATTCATATAGGTATTTATTCATTCTGATATAAGTACACTTGTTTGCACAAAAACATGATTTTTTCATCGTGCTGGG